ACAACAATAAGATAGTTTAAAACAATTAGAAGTTTATGTGAACAAATATTGGGATTAAAATAATAGGAAACGGAGAATGCCTGACTTAACCTGAAAGTGGTTTTTAGGATGGTTTCAAAGGGACTTGAAAATATATGGAAAAAATAAAAAGAGTACAATATAAGTACAGTCCTGTCTTAAGTTTAATTATTAAACACAAAAAGGCTGAATAGATGACGCATTCTATTAAACAATATGCTAGACTTGTTTCACACCACTTAGTTTAAATAGTTGGTGGGATAGTCATTAATTTTCATATAATTCATCAATGCTTTGCTTTTCTTAAAAATTGATTACACGCTTAAATAAGCAAAGAATCTATGTCACATTCGCACACTGTATAAAAATGTTTATTCTCCTCAATAATGATATACTCAGATGCAACTCTTTTGAGTCTGTGTCTGTTTGTCACTTCGCAGACTCCTTGCCCACCTATCCCGAGATCCCTGTCCCGTCGGTCCCAGTGCTCCGGCCGAGCTGGTCCATCGCAAGTTCTCTTTACATAAAACTCACAGAATCATCTTTTACATTTTTCCCCTTGTCTAGGATGCTAAGGAGCAACTTTCCTTTGGCTTGACCCAGAGATTGAGCAATAGTGAGTTTACCTAACTATTGCTCTCAGCGCCATCTAGAGACTAAAATAACAAATAAGACTGGTTTTCTAAATTACAGAAAATTCAGCTGACTCTTACAAACAGGCTACAGATAACACTGTAAAAAAGCAAAAATTAAATATTAAATTGATGGGCTCTGGTGGCTCATGCCTGCAATGCTAGCTATTTAAAAAGCTGAGATATGAGGATCACAGTCAAAGTTAGCCTGGGCAGAAAAATCTGAGACTCCACCCTATCTAGTCAGAAGTGGAGGTGTTGCTCAAGTGATAGAGCATTAGCCTTGAGTGATAAAATCAAATTAGTGCAAGCCTCAGTACTGACATAATACTTGAACTAGAGTTCAAGTCCCAATTCTTGTACAAAAAACAAAACACTAAATTGTATGGTACAAACCATATAGAGTTTACAGACAGGTCAAAGCACAGAGAAAGTGGCCGAGGAAAGCAAAGAAGAAAGTGATGAGAAAAAAAAGATTCATAAAGTAGGATCTCACACACACAGGCACCATACACATACAAACAGACCAACACACACAGACAGTAAAAAATATATGGAGTAGCTAACTAATATACAGATTATTACATTGAAATGCACTTTTACTGGGAAAATTACATACTACCGAGCAAAAGTCATTATAAAAAATGTATATCAGTCACATGAAGTATAGGAATGAGAAAAATAAGCAATTTTAAAATTTCATTTTATTTTTGAGATAAGGTCTTGGACTATCCTACCCCTCCTTCCCAGATTCTGGGTTTATAGGTATATACCACCATGACCAGCAACAAATATATTTTTAAAGATTCATATATATTTAGTAGATCCATAAAGGAAAAGGGAATGATTAGCACAGTTTGTATGAAAGGATACTTGGGGAGCAGGGGGTGACTTGAAGATATAGAAGTTTCTCTGTGTCTTAGCCAGGGTGGTATTTCTTTAGATTATTATTAAAAGTTCAGCCTGGCACTAGTGGCTCATGCCTGTAATCCTAGATACTTCAGGAGGCTGAAATCTTAAGATCACGGTTCAAAGCCAGCCAGGGCAGAAAATTCTGTGAGTCTTTTCTCCAATGAACCACCAGAAGACTGGAAGTGGTCCTGTGGCTCAAGTGGTAGAGAGCTAGCCTTGAACTGATGAGCTGAGGGACAGCACCCAGGCTCTGAATTCAGGCCTCAAGACTGACCAAAAAAAAGAAAAAAGAGTGCCTTATACACTCTTCTGTATGAATTACACATTTCTGAATATGTTAAAAACTCTGATTGAGATTACTATGATTCTCTTTCTGATTCTTCCTGATAACTTGTTTCTGAGTTTCCTTTATCAGCAAAGCCTGATTAAAGAGTCCATACAGTCTTAATCTAAAATAATTCAAATAGAAAATGTTGTTACTTTGTTATTGTATCTTAGTAAACAAATATGCTCTTGTTAACCTACTTAAAGAACAAATATTAAATAAAACTTATTATGATTTTAATCAATAAGGTAACAGTGTATGAAAAACAAGCTAATTAACTGAACATGTCCAGTAATTGAAAAAAAGAACAGGATGCTCTGACAAAGAAAAACTTGCAATAAGAACAGATTCTTAGAAATTGTTTATGAAGGACAAGAAAGTTTCTGAGAAAATAAACTTGAAAAAGAGAAAAAAAATAGAAGAAAAGATCGATCTGGAATATGCTCTCTCTTGTTAGTAAGAATTCTGAAAAAAAATAAGCTGTGGGGAATGATTTTCTTCAGATAAATTTTCCAAGAATGGAAATGTAGAGGATGGAGAATGAATATAAGTTCAAAGCACCAGAGTTAAAAATGTGATCGATCCGAAGGCATTCCTGGGAAATGTTAACTCTGATAATATAGTTTAAGTTTGGGTTTAATGATTCTCAGTATTTAGTGAGCTGCAATATGACTCTTGAGTACAAAATGCAGTACATGTTCAAATAGCTTAAAATTTCAACAGTTTTACAACCAATCACAAGCAGCCAACTGGTCAACCCATGTTCACAGAAGGCAGATGCAAACTGGAGTAGGTGGTGCTGCCTCTGTACCTCATTTACATTTTCTGTTCACTATTTTTTAGTTCATAAACATAAACCTGTCATGTGGTACGGCCTGACTTTTCAAACCAATTTTGGTTATGATTGCTGATCAATAAATAAAGTCATTAAAATCTGTAAGACTAGACGTGTTTTGTTTTGTTTTTAACAGAAGAAAAACCACATTACATGCAAATAATTAAGACTAAGAATTGTAGTATTATGACCTTTCTGACTGTATAAAGTAGACTAAATATACTTACAGGAATGTAAATTCTTCACAACAACCTCCATTTCATCTTTCCTCAAAAGGATGTGTGCTGGTAAAGCAAAGGAGATATTATACAAATGCAATACTAAGTTTCTAAGAGTTCTAACAAAGAAAACTTTCAAAGGTAATCGCCAGTATGAGCACCTATTAGGCTTGAGAATCAGGAATCTAGAGCAGAGGACAGGAGTGGAGCCCTGGGGAAACAGAATGTAATCAACACATATATTTGATATGTGTGATATGTTTGATAGTGATATATTTGATAGTGGAGAAAGTGATATGACATATGTTTGTGTTTCAAAATTACCAGTAGATATGTTAAAAAATCACAATAATAATGAGATAATCATTTGTCCATGATAAAACAGTGTATGAAAATGGAAAAATAATCATGCTAATTTTAGACTCAGTAGGGAACAATATTTACATGATCCTAATAATATAATCACTGAATATTGATCCAACCGTAAGGGGAGGGCAGCGTGAGAAGGGAATTATAAGAGTTCATTCTCACTCATCTCTCCTAGAAATGAATAGCTAGTGCTTGTCTTGCATCATAAAGCTTTAACAGAATATTCAGAAGCATGAAATTAAATATAAGGAGAAACAGCTAAAATAATTAAAGCTGATTTTCTGGAAAGTCAGATCAAAAGGTGAGGTATTACGTTCCTTTTAGCCTTAAATGCAAGGAAATTCATATAAAATGTAATATAATTTATGTCCTATATGGTGTAAAATATTTTAGGATACCTTCTTCCCTTTGGCTCTACACTGGGGATGAAACCTAAGCCTTGCTCATAGTCAGCAAGCATTCTAACACTGAGCTACATCCCAAACCAAAGGAAGGGAATTTTGCCACATGCTACAAACAGATGAATCGTGAAGACACTATACTATGCGAAATGCACCAAACATAAAAGACAAATGTTGGGGGCTGGGAAGGTGGCTCAGTGGTAGAACACCTGCCTTGCATGCATGAGGCCCTGGGTTCGATTCCTCAGCAACCCGTAAGCAAAAAGAAAAAAGCCGGGAGTGGCGCTGTGGCTCAAGTGGTAGAGCACTAGCCTTGAGCTGAAGAGTTGAGGGACAACGCCCAGGCCCAGAGTTCAGGCCCCACGACCAGACCAAAAAATAAATAAATAAATAAATAAAAGCTTAAAAAAAAAAAAGACAAATGTTGTATGAGTTCAGACCCTTGTGCTAATGCAAAAATAAATAGATAGATGGACAAATAAACAAATAAGGACCATATAATATATTATAATATATATGACAATATATGATAATATATTCATAATTTATATCATATCATCACCCATGCTAGCCTCAGTGACTAGGCTGAGACCTTGTACAGTCTTTTCTGTTGGTATTCTTTTTTTTTTTTTGGTCTGGTCGTGGGGCCTGAATTCTGGGCCTGGGCGCTGTCCCTCAGCTCTTCAGCTCAAGGCTAGCGCTCTACCACTTGGGCCACGCGGCTTTTTTTCTTTTTGTTTATGTGGTGCTGAGGAATCGAACCCTGGGCCTCAGGCATGCAAGGCAAACGCTCTACCACTGAGCCACCTTTCAGCCCCATACAGTCTTTTCTGAATTGTTTAAAGGGACTCATCTCTGCATTGTGCATGACTGGGTTGGACCTTGAGTGAATCAAAGGTAAGATAAAGCCAGTACTGATTTCTGATGCACAACTTTATTTGATCACTTTCCTTAACCTTGTCCCAATATCAGAAGTATGTCTATTTGTTTCTTGGTGGTTATAAGCAATGAAAGGCCAATTAGTTTCATAGTAAGAAAGTCAACTAGTACAATGCAATCCTAACTCAAATAACTGTTTCCTTAAGTTTATAATTGGAATGGTAGCTTAAAGAAGAAAAAAGACAATAGAAAACAACTTTGTATAAATTCTTAGAGACCTCAAACTGCTTTCCAGCCTTAAGTCATGCCACTTTGGTGTTGACAGGTTGCATTTACTTTCAAATCTTTATTCCTATAAAGCAGTGTTGTATCTTGCTGTGGGTTCAGTTAAATGTTCTTCTTTATTCACAGTACGAAATCAGGACAGAAGCTCGGAGAAAAAATCTGCTCATTTTGATTTTGCATTATTTAACACAAGAAGGGTAAGTTATATTACAAATATTTACTGATGTCTGTTTTCTTTTTGTGACTCTATACTTTTCTAGACAGGCCTTCAAAAACAATGAACAGACAATTTACAGGAAAATGACCATAAAGAATAGCAAGAACCCATACACCATGTCATTCCCCAGTTCCATTATTATTATTATTCATAATAACAATAATAGTTCTGGGGACAAAAATCAGGGCTTTGATCATGCCAACCAAACTCTCTTCCATATCTGTATACGTCTTCACCTCTGTAATTAACATGTTGCACTGATATGGTATATTTGCTGCAATTCTTGAGCCAATATGAACACCTTATTAGTAACCCAAGTACACAGATATATTAGGTTTATTCTGTGTTAAGTATTTTTCACTCATGCATTTGAAAACTTTATTGACAGTGCTAATCAGTACATGCAATACTTTTCTATTCCCTTGAGGGTTTTTTGTTGTTGGTGGTGGTGGTGGTGGTCGTCGTGGTGCTTGAATTCTGGGCCTGGGCATTGTCTCTCAGCTCTTCAGCTCAATGCAAGTGCTCTACCACAGTGCCACTTCCAGTTTTCTGGTGGTTTATTGGAGATAAGAGTTTCACAGATTTTCCTGCCCATGCTGGGTTTGAACTATGATCCTCAGATCTCAGCCTCCTGAGTAGCTAGGATTGTAGGCATGAGCCGCAGGAGCCCAGCCTTCCCTTGAGATTTGACAGTAGTAGAGATGTGAGATTTCCTAGAGTCCACTACTGATATAGCCACAAATATAACTTCCTTAAAAGTTTTTCTTTCTGTTTTTGATTGAGGATCACTTTAGGAAATCAATACACGTGTGGGCCATGAGTTTTTTTTGGGGGGTGGTGCAGGGAGAATATGATGATCCTTTAACTTTTTCCCATTGATTAAGAATGTTGTAAATTCTTGAATTGCAAACAGTGACCTTTCTCATAATGACTTCTCTAAAATGAGGGCAAAACCCCTAACACCAAAGCATTTCCCACTCTACTCACTTTGAAGTACAAGATGTATTTTTTTAAATCAGAAACTCCTCTTCTTTCATGTTATGGATTTAAGTTTTATGGGGAAAAATGGTTTCATCCTATCAGCCTCTCTGGTGGTGAGCAGTAAGCAGTCCCTACGTATACACACACACAAGAGTGTGATCAGGTGAACTTGATAAGCAGTAGAGTAAACCTAGACAAACAGAACCTTTTATTTCAGGACTCTTTAACTCATCTACTTTCCTTTGGGCAATGAAGATAGCTCTACTAACCTCACAGAATTCAGGATTCTGCAGCACGATTTGACCAAGGACGTAGTTTTTCTTAGATTGTCTTTAGAGACTAATTTCCCTAGAACTTTTGAGAACAGTTGGCACTATAACACTTCACAGACTGGTTGACTTATATAAAACCTGGGCTTATAGGCCCAAAGAAACATAGGTCCCCCAAATACTAGTTATTTGCAATAACTAGTATATGTCTAAGACAAGCAGAAAAGGTCAAAAGCTATGTACATATGACCATATGAGATGATGTTAAGTGAAATGAACCCCAAGATAGGGACACAAGTGTTTTCTTTCTTGCTATTGTTTTTAACGTATTTATAATGTACTATGTGATTTTTTTTATGTCTTTAGTATGTTCTTCCCCCACGGTTCTTCCCCCTGTTTTCACTATATTTGATTCTGGTGCCCTGCATCTTGTATATACATTTTTCTAATTAAGGGAGTGGAAGGGAAAAAACAAAATATTAGGGATACAGGTTGACCCATTGTAACAATGAGATATACAAGACAACTTCAGGTGTGGGGGGGGAGGAGTTGGGGAGGTGGGGAAGAAGGGATAGTAGGGGAAAAACAAGTGAGAGGGTAAAAATGCTCGATAGGAAATGTACTCATTACCTCATATACTGTAACCCCTCTGTAATATATATATCTCCTGGGCTTACCATGCTAGCTCCAGCACTGTAGGCATAGTGTTAACAGATGTTCAGTAAGTATTACCTGAATAGCTACTGAGGAACTTCCTGCCATGTAGGTTAGTAGAGTAGAGTAGGTTAGTAGAGTAAATAGAAATTAAGACAAAGCCATTCACACAGAGAATCCTTAATTTTTATTACAATTTATTTTGTGTTCCAGAAATTGTGTTGGAAAAAAACTTTGAAAACAAAGGAACCCCTTTCCCCAACTTCCACCTCCCAAAATCACATAGCTAACCCTGTTCTTTAGTTATTATGGCCAGAATTTACTACTTCAAAGCACGTATTTACCCATATTCACCACTAGATGGCCCAATGGCCCCTTGTATCTTAAATCAATGAAAATTCCAGTTGATCATTTTCCTAGCCTTATGAGAAGGGTTTGAGTGGATTGCAGAGAGTAAAGTCAGCTATAGGTATTTTTTAATGTCAGTTTTGGAATAAATGAAATTTTCTGATAATTTGACAAAGTGGACAGATTATTGTGGATTTAGATGTCCAGTCAAGGAAAGAAGCTTTGTAGCATTAATGTAAACATGATTTTAAAGATGTATAGAACATAGGTAGACAGAGGTGCTGGGAAGAGGTACAGAGGAAGAAGGGGCAAGCCATAACTTTAGTAATTAAGTAAACAGACCAGAGTTTGAAAGATTGGTCAAGAATTGGTGGAAGGTCATTAAGTGCTGGTTTTTTTAGTCCTACAGATCTATCCTCTTGGGTCTGAGTGCTGTTAATAACCTCCTTCCTACATCTTGTTCATTCTTGCTCAATGTTCTTCTTTAAGGTCTGTCCTATTAACTCTGTTGGCTAAGTGGCTCCATGACAGACTACATTCATACTCAAATAATCTAACAGGGACATGCAGAAACAGCTGTGTTTCCTGATCAATTCTCTTAGAAAATATGGGGCTTATACTGTTAAAGTCAGACTATCCATGATCATGGATGCAATGTTCAGAATGCAAGGTGACATCAGTAGAATCAATCTCCAGTGCAAGTTCCTGTCTTCTTTATTGAATTACAAGGACACATGTGTAAGCAAATGTGTGTAGTCATTTTTTTAATAACTTGAAAGATAGAAGAAATATTCACATTCATACAATTTCTGAGTGGGAGTATGTATTTCTTGTTGTTGTTGTTTTAGGGCTTGAACTCAGGGTCTAGACACTGTACCTGAGCTCTTTTGCTCAATGCTAATGCTCTACCACTTTCAGTCACAGAGCCACTTCCATTTTTCTGGTGGTGAATTGGAGATAAGAGTCTCACAGGGGCTGGGAAGGTGGCTCAGTGGTAGAGCGCTTGCCTTGTATGCATGAGGCCCTGGGTTCGATTCCTCAGCATCACATAAGCAAAAAGAAAAAAGCCAGAAGTGGTGCTGTGGCTCAAGTGGTAGAGCACTAGCCTTGAGCTGAAGAACTGAGGGAGAGCGCCCAGGCCCAGAGTTCAGGCCCCATGACTAGATCCCCCCAAAAAACGTCTCACAGACTTTCCTTCCCTGACTGTCTTTGAACCCCAATCCTCAGATCTCAGCCTCCTGAGTAGCCAGGTTACAGGTTGAGCCATCAGCACCTGGCACTTTCTTTTGATTTATCTGTATATTCTAGGGTTTTTAAAAAATGAATATGTGTTGCTTCATATCTAACACAAGTTATACAGATATAGTCGGGTGTGGTGTCCTATGCCTGTAATTTCAGTATTCCCAAAGCAAGGCAAGAGTATCAGCACCTTAAAACACAGTCAGTTCCTGTCTGAAATTTGTTTTTAAAAAAAGGACACAGACGTAGTTCAATAGTAGAACATTTATATAGAATATATGAGGCCTTACTTTCAGTCCCCAGAACTGCAAAACAGATGTGAACAGGTAGTGCTTTATGAGTGTAATCCTAGTTACTCAGGAGGCTGAGATCTAGGGATTGAGGTTGGATGCCCAACCAGGTAGAAAAGTCTGAAACTCTTCTCTCCAATAAAGGACTCAGAAAAAGCCAGAAATGGTGCTGTGGCTCAAGTAATTGAGCCTTGAGCTCAAAGAGTCTCAGGGACAGTGTCCAGGCTATCCTGAAGAGAAAAAAAATAGGTTATTTGTGGCTTTGTAACATGGGAAATAAGCCACAGCATAGAAGTTGGGTGAGCAGCTTCTCATACGATTGTTAATTCTTTGAAATTAGCTTGGGAACACAATTCAAGGCCACTGGAAGTAATCATGGTACTTATTTAAATACAATTCAGTTTTCCAAATGACCTAAGTCTAGTTCTGAGAAGAGGGTTGATTTTAAAAAAGCCAGTTTTCCTCCTACCTTCCCAGATTTGAACCAGATAGAAAGAACTATGGCCTGCCACAGAATTATTTTTCAAATTTATTATTACTGTTGTTATTAAGCAGTTATACAAAGGGGCTACAATTCTATAAGTCAGGTTATGAGTACAATGCTTCTTGATCAATGTCACCTATTTTATCCCACATGGAACATTTTTTACATAATGTGCGCTGAGTATAAAGACTACATTTGCTCACCCTCCCTCCCTCCATTCCTATGCTTTCCCCTTGCTCAACCCCCAAATGTATTTCTACTTCCTAGTATTCATTTTGATAAACAATACTTTAGTTATTCAGAGAATTACAACTTTGGATTCCCGTAGCCACATATATCCTTGTTTAGACAGCTTGTATACAAATGAGCCCTGTGTACATTGTGTACATTGAGCCCTGTAGATATTATCATGCATAGCTCTATTTTACATCTAGTTTCCACATATGAGCAACAATATGTGCCATTTGTCTCTTTGAGCCTGGCTTACTTCACCTAACATGATTTTTTCAGGCTCCATACATTTTCCAGCAACTGATATAATTTTATTCTTTCTAATGGATGAGTAAAATTCCACTGTGTACATGTACTATATGTACTACATTGTAGGTCATCTGGGCTGTTTCCATAACTTGGTATTGTGAAGAGTGCAGCAGTGAACATGGATTTGCAAGTAACTTCACTCTGTCCTGACTTGTAATGCTCTGGATAGATGCCCAAGATTGCCACCAGAATTCTTAATTCTTAATCTGAAGTCTTTGGAAGATCCCCGGAAACCTTAGGCTAATGTGTGCATATTTGTACCTGTGTAATTGGTTTTTTTAAAAGAAACTAAAACTAAAGACCTGGGGAGTCTTTTCATCTTTAGATTTTGAAGACAGCCCTTGCTTGCAGCACTAAATCTGCCTACATGGGACAGCCTTACTATTGAGCAAAGTAAAAGATGATTATGAAGAATGCTGGTAACAGGGTTTGGAAATGTAGATAAGGACAGGGTGCTCACCTGCCATGCACAGACCCTGGGTTCCATTGCGATAACAACAGCAACAAACAAATATAACCCCCCAAAAAACAACAATGCTGCTTCCATATGGAAACACCTTCTGTGTAATGTGTATCTCAACCACTGCCAGGGATATGACTACACTTAAGTAGTTATCTTATACTGAATTTCCTCAATGCTGTTCATCAACAAATTCTTCCAATTTCCTTTAATATTCATGACACATTCTTTGGAATTGCTCTCAGGATACTAATCCTTACTTGCACTTTTGGGATAAATGTGGGTTTTAACAACTGTAATAGGTTATCTAAAATAAATACTATTAATATATGTGACCAAAGTTAGCTACCTATGTGCCTCAAAATGAACAAAGGTATTCCAAAAGGCATTTTTCTCAGTTGTTTTTATTTGTTTGACTTAAATGCAGTTCAAAAATTGTTTTTGAATGATGGAGTCATCACTAGAATAAGTAGTATGCAGAGGCAACTTCTTTGAAAGACAGCATTTAGATATATTTAACCATATACAAGCTGGGTGTGGAGGAATCCACCTGTAATACTACCACTCCTAAGGCTGAGACAGGATGATTGTAAGGTGGAGGTGAGCCTGGTCTACAGAGTGAAACCCTGTCTCTTACTCCCTCTCCCCAAAGAGACCTACCAAAACCACAATACTACAATAACAATAAAACAAAGAAACCCTAGAAAAACCACATCTGTTTGGTTTCTTACTCTAGAAAAACCTCAGAGATACTTTTTTTTTTAAATCTAATCTCTATTTAATTTAGGTTTACTCTTGGTATGGAGACTTTGGGGATTTATAATCCCTGTTTGCTTGTATTCTTTATGCCAAGGCTTACTCTTTTTCTTCTTCTTCTGTAAAACAGATATATTGATGCAGCAAATGCTTTGGAGCAAGAAACTAAATTGGCTTTACGACGCTTTGAAGTTTGTGACAACATTGATCTTGAAACTATTTTGATGGAATATGAGAGCTATTATTTTGTAAAATTCCAAAAGTACCCCAAAATTGTTAAAAAGGCATCAGAAACAGGTACATGGCTATTTTTTTTTAGTAGTAAGACTTTATTATCTTGTTAAGAATGGTGTTTCTGGTTGGGAATAGTAGTGCATGCCTGTAACCCCAGCACATAGGACGTGGAGGCAGAAGAATCATGAATTCAAGATAAGCCTGGACTACTGAGCAAGAAGAAGTGGTGTTCCATCCTCATCTTATCTCCCAAGTATATGTTACCCCTACCCTGCACTGTAAGAGGAGACTAGAAAGTTCCTGTAGCCTCTCTTAGTCCCCGCAGGCAACTTAAACATGATCATCTGGATTTTGACATCCTTTGGTGCTTATTTGAGAAATTTGTTTCAGGAAAAAAGGCAAAAGCCCAGTGTATGTAAGGTACTCTGTAGAAGACTGGCATCAATTTCCGTAGAGATGGAAAGGACTGTTGAAAGAGAATAAATGACAGAAGACTTTGTCTTGTTAGAAAGACCTATTATCTGTCTTGAAATAACATGAAAATGAGCATTGGTAAAGCTAATAGCTCATGTATAGATAATGAAATGCTTTTGAAAGCCATCAATCGTGATCATGATCAATATAATGCAAAGACCTGGTATAGGGTAGCAGTCGAGGGGGCTGGCTGCAGGGAAGATCTAAAACCAAGGCCCTAGGTTTTGTAGTAACATTGACTTAGAAGTTTGTAAGTAGGGGAAGTAATTATAAACCGAGGCAGATCATTGTCCTGTTTGCAAGGAACTTGTTAAGCCACAGACTTTAACATTTCATGTAGGGAACCGGGAAACTAAGAGAAACATTAATTAAAAATAGCTAGGGCTGAATGGTAGAGCTGGAAGGAGTCTGGGAGGGATTTTTCTCTGAGCTTCCTTCAAATGCAGGTTTCAGTATTTGCCTTCCTTGTCCAGTTGTTAGATCGGGGTCTCAAGATAACATTGACTCCCCCATGGGGATTACTGATAGGCTGTGATTTCTAGATGGCTTATTCTCAGGTACTTTGGTATCTATTGTCTCCTGTCATATCCTGTCTTAATTTTAGGGCCGATTGGTAGACTTAATAGACAGACTACAGCAATCGGTCTAGGGTCCTTAACACCCAAGCAAGGTGGTGTCAAGCTCATGAAAACTCAATGAAATATTAGCTAATAAACCCTATTGCATTAGATTTGTTACCAGGTGAGTGGTCTCCAACACATTTACTGTCTTGTGGCCTACAAGATCTTCCTCTGAAGGGAGAGGGCTGGAAGTCCAGCCTCACCCCCTTCTCTTGTCACTTCATACTCTAGATCAGAATTGGTACACATTTTAAGAAATTTTAAAAAGCAGAAATAGATCTAAAAAATCACATTCTCTTCCTTAAGACTAATACTCTCCTCCCCCTCCCCCTGTGTTTGTTTTGCCATAGCAGAGAATAATTTGCCACCAAAAACTGGAGGAAAAAACAGAAGGTAAAGTGAATGATAACTCCTCTTGATCAATGAGTTTGTGGGATTTCTTTCTAGAAGAATTTCCAGTGCAACTTCATGACTGTCTACTAGCAATACCAGTCTGTATTGTGGACTTGGTGGGCATTCTGTGGAGTTCCCTCATGCTACAGCTCTCCAGAACTTAGGTCCATATCTATCAGTTCCCCTGGGTTACTACTAATGATTACATCCCGTTACAATATGTCTTTGTAGGGCAGGGGGCATGAAAAGTATAGATATCATGGGTTAGAAGACCCAGGACTAATTTCTGGCTCTGCTTTTCTGCTTTTCTCTGTTCCTGGTACATCGTGAGGCCCTAGCACATATTGAGAACTGAAGAAACATTGCTTCTTTTAAAATAACATCTTTAATTTCTTTGTGTACTCTTGGATCTTTCAATTCCTGATTTGTCTAAAAATAGTAACCTGGGAAGATTCTCTTTAGTGTGAGTCTGCATCAACCTGCATTCTTCTTGCCATTCTCCTCCTTTTTTTGTTTGTTTGTTTATTTTTGGTCTGTTGTGGGGCTTGAACTCTGGGCTTGGGTGCCGTCCCTGTGCTCTTCAGCTCAAGGCGAGTGCGCTACCACTCGAGCCACAGCACCACTTCTGGTTTTCTAGAGGTTTATGAGAGATAAGAGTCTCCCGGACTTTCCTTCCCCGGGCTGGCTTTGAACCGTGATCCTCAGATCTCAGCCTCCTGAGTCGCTAGGACTACAGGCGTGAGCCACCAGCCCCCGGCTCCCTCCTTTTTATATGTGCATTTTGTATGCCATTTCTGAGTCTCTCACATCCCAATCTCATTTAAAAATAGCCAGGGCTGAGCCTTCGTTCAGAAAATTTCTGGGAATCTAATGGGAGCCCTTTCTTTTTTTTTTTTTTTTTTTGGGGTCTGGTCGTGGGGCCTGAACTCTGGGCCTGGGCGCTGTCCCTCAGCTCTTCAGCTCAAGGCTAGCACTCTACCACTT